ATCATAGCTTCCAAAACAATTACATAGCTCGAAATGAAGTGAGGCAACGGAAGATTTGGAATTGTAGATGATCCGTTTATGGCCACTGTTCTCTTTCTTGAATAAGCATTAAACAAAAAGGGGCATAAACTATGCCACTATAGCCTAAGAAAATCTGTGCATCAAGCACCCTGTAAATGGATGTACTCCTATTATGTTTTACTTCAGTTAGCAAAGAGTCACAAAACATGACCGAATTCCATTATTATTAAACAAGAACTAGAGAGCGCTCAACTTCCATGAATCTTTCTTGTTCTGAACAAGGTTAATGTCCCAACTTTGATCAGGACTTTTTATAATCAGCTATATGGCAAGTGAAATTCCATTCTGAAATTAATAAACAACTTTTCTCTGTAGAATTAAAGGTATTTGGTGCTTTGGCCCTGAACTGTTTATGAACTGGCAAGTTGTCCCGTTCATTTTTAATTTTGGCAAATTGCCTACGAATTTATACGTTGTTGCAGGGTGCTCCAAATTGATGATAGCTATTAAAGTCTATACGGAAATGCTGTCATGGGAATCATATCGGCCCAAATGAAGGGCGGAGATTGGAATTTTGTATGACGCTACATCACGTCATGTCACGTCCTTAAGCGCGTTTCCGTCCAAAATATAACAGACATAGTACACTTCATTATCTTCAAACTATAACTTGGCAATTTGTGAAGACGTTGGGGGTAAAGTGTCAAAAACCACAAAATTCGTAGCACTTCTCTTTTGAAAAATAACAAGCCAGTCCTCACTTAATAAAAGTCAGGACAGATACCTATTATCATTTTATTCTATCCAATATCATCAATAAGTACCAAAAATATCGAAAATCAAAAAAAAAAAAAAAAAAAAAAAAAATCTAGAAAGTGCTTGTCGCTCCACCTTAAAGGCTAGATAAAGCTAGAAAAGGTTATGGTGTTTCACTAAAAACTTTACACTAAGGGCTTATAAATTCACCTATCTTCCCATATGCAAATTTAAACTTGCAACCAATTCAGACTGTCTCCTACAGAAACTATTTTATGCTCTCTATTGAAGTATCAAAAAAACTACAAAGGATAAGGACATTTTTATGAATTGTCTTAATGAAAACTTCGGCACAGTTTTATTTGTTGCACTACACACAGAACTACTAGTAAGCTAAGAAGAGTGAAGGATATTCATAAACTGCAGATATAGGAGGATGATACACGTATAAAAAGCCTCACATACCTATCACAAGACTTTTAGTTCTGAATGTGCAGGAGATATCAGGGTATAATGATTGGTAAATGTTTATCAGAGTGGACTAGATACTATGATGAAAACGCCACTAGATTTTTTTTTTTTTTTTTTTATCATATAAAATATGGATTGATGAGAGGGGAAATCTCCATGAAAAAAATTTTGGTTAATTTTTTGAGGAATGGTAGCGACATTTGTTTGCTCAAGCGCGATATCACTCGATGCTTTTCCCTTCCGCCACGTAGCAGACACAAAAAGATGCTCTTTCAAAGGAAAACAAAACCTCTTCTTTTTACTCTAAATTACAGGGAATGCCATCTATACTTTCAAAGTAGCAATTTAATGGGTCCCACAATAAGTACACCTCCTCTTAATATTTTTTATTTTTTGTTTTCTTTATAAATTATATTTTAAGCCTCCTTTACGCTACAGTTTTTTTTTCCAAATGTTTTTTGCTCTTATGCCCCATCTTCACATTCTCCTTATTCTGTTCATGCTACTAACTGTAGATTATTTATTTCATTCTATTAGAGTAAGTTATTTACTAATGTATATGGCCTTACTAAAAGAACTCCTCAGTTTCATTGGGAAAAGAAAAAAAAAATTATGTGCAATCACATTTTTTTTGTTCTTTGAAACTATTATTTTATTTTCTCTTACTAATTAATTTTTGCTCTCTATTAGAATAAAGTGAGAAACAAATTTCTTTAAAGAAAATGACAAATAATATTCTCTTAAAAAAAACAGAGAGAGAGAGAGAAATAATATTGTGCAACCTTTCATAAAACTATTGACTGCCGGAATGATTTCAATAATTTTTTTTTTCTTTGGAAAAAGCAAAAGAATAGTAAAAAGAGAAAACGATGGCGAAAGGCCCAAAGAAGACATTATTCAAAAAAGAAAGAGAGAGTAAGAGAGAGATTGAGAGAGAGATTGATGATGTTAGCCTTTAGGTCTACTAATATACCAAAAACAAATAAAATTGAATTTCGTTTTATTCAGCAAAAAAGTAAGAGATGGCATCCATGATAATTTACAACAAAAACAATGCTTCTTGTTTAACTCTCAAAACATCACTTTTTGTGTATGCTACATGACCAAAGAGCAGACCAGCGAGTGATATCGCGCTTAGCATAACGATTGTCCCTAGCATTCCTCTAATTTTTTTGTTTGGTTGTAAAAAATGAGTATGACACTAGGTTGTTTAAGGAATGCTTAGCCCTATCAATTGTGGAATATATAATGGTCATTCCTAAACTGTATTCCATGTGAGTTAGTTAACTTTGGTTAGACCAAATCGACCTAGAGAGGAATGTGCCCTTGAGAGCATTCCCAGATGTTTTAGATGAACTTACTAAAACTAAGCATTTCATTCCAAGTTAATGCATAGCTACTTTAATTTATGCAGCACAGCTAGAGCAACAAAATCAATATGTTCAATCATCACACAATCATCCTCAGCAAAAGTTCAAAAAAAAAAAACAAGGAAGATGAACCAAAAAAAAAATGAATACTAGAACCCGCCCCTTGTGTTAATATTGCTTTTGGCCTATGCCCCGGTAAAGGACAAGAACATCATCCCTTTAAAGTGTCAAATACACCTTTCTCCCAGGTGATGTGACAATGTGGGACTCTAATATCACCTATCCTTGAGACCTAATATCCTCATTGGAATCGTCCCTCAAAGTATCTCTTATAGGCGATTTTCTAACTAGGACTTGTTCCAATATGTTAAAAAAAACGCCTGAGCGTAGAAATTGTCCACTTCGGTTCTAACGTCTCATGTTTTCCTCACAACGTGTCATATGAGACATATTTCCTTATAATGGCCAAGTACACATTTCTCCAACGGAATTTGTGACGTGTGACTCTACAATTGGAGATAGTTCTTTTGGTAATATCTCATAAGTTTTCAAGCATTTATGATTGCGTATCGGAACCTAAAGATATAGTTTGTGCCTCATAACTCCTATGAGAGCTTTAAAGAAAGGAGATTTCCTCATTTATAAACCTTCCATACTTGCTTATATTCTCCACGATGAGTTCGACAACAGATTTTAAATGCACCAAGACAACCATTGTTTACCATCCAAAATGGAAAATTTATATTTTTAAATGATTACATTCGAGATTTGGAAATTTGAGATTCGATGTTATTGGGCCTAGTTAATTCTTAGGTCTGTTGATTCTAGATTTATATGATACTTAACGTATAAAACGTAAACATAAACAACTTTATTTGAAACACCAAAGGAATAAACTAGGAATGCCTCTACTAACCCCTATTAGGAAAGAGATAATGAAAGTTCTTTCAAAGGAAAAAAATGGTTAAGCTAACGTGACTTTAATTAATGAATTTGTACAATCGCCTTAAAACACAACTGCAAAAGGTGATTGCCCTTATTCATTGCTCATGAAAAACATCTGTAAAAGAAAAAAAAAAACCAAAAAAAACAAAACGACGCTTCAAAATTTTCTTGTAAGTAACGATTCTTTTGCCTATATATTAACCAATCCCTGAATACCTTGTACCCTCATCCTTCTTTCTCTCATGAAAGCTTAATCCTAGCATCTAATTCCCCTTAACCCCTAGTCCAAACTTCCAATTTCCTTGCATCTCAGTCATTAGTCTCTTGTCTGAGGTCACTCCTTTTTTCCCATTTCACCATCTCAAGCCGTCCAGTTCATACCCCCAGGGATAAATAACAGAAGAGACGTTACTTCGAGGTTATCTCTATTCCGATTTCACCATATAGTTTATTGGTAAGTAATATTTCTTATGAACAAATTTCCATTTCCAAGTCTGATAAATTGATTAATGATAGGGAACTGAAGATTACCTCCAGTTCGCAAAAATTCTTTCATTGTTTACTTCTCTTTATAAATTTTATCAAATCTTTTGCAGTAGATTTTATTTAACTTTCCCAGGCACCTTAATCAATGGTAAATAGAACATTACTGATTTTTTTCCCTTAAGAAACAACACTATTCTACAAAAATACCTAATCATTGAATAAGAAATCTAGTTTATATATTATGTTACTTTCCCTGGCACCTTAATCAATGGTAATGTAAACATCAATGTCTCTTTTTTCTTCTTAAGAAACAACAGTCTACAAAAATATCTAATCATTGTATACAAAATCTAGTTCATATATTCGTCCCTAGGCATTCACTGTTATGGTTGTTCCATATTTGACATATCTAATTGTTGATTGAATTTTTAATATTGTTTGTTAAATTTTAGTTTAGTTTAAATATCATACAATCCTATCAGCCTAAAATGACCCAAATATATTATAAGTTTGCAACAAAAAAGCCTTTCTTTTATGGGTTTTTTACAATATGAAAGTTCTAAAAGGGATAAAGGTCTCCTTGGAGTTTAAAATCCTTGCCAAATTTTAGCTATACTGGTTGCAAGGGTGAAGGAGTAAAGCCCAAAGGATTAGAAAAAGAAAGCCTAACCTAAAGTGCTTTTCAATATATATATATAATTTTTTCAATATAAATTTTGGTTAAATGGTCTGCCATTTCAATTTCACAGGTGAAAGATCTAATAAATTTTCCATGAACTTTCATCATAATGTATGCTACTTGATGGTTATCTATCTACTTGGTCGATTGCCAAACAAGGATTTCTCTTCCCTGATATTTTAAGCTTTTTAGGATTTCCAATATGCTAATAATTTTTTTTCCCTAACAGCTATCTCTGAGTAAGATAAGTCTCTCACATACAAGCTAAGAGAATGGAAAGCTCTAGCAACAGCAGCAACATGGGTCGGCAAAGGCGATCAGGGAATTCATCTGAAGGCGTTGATTACATAAGCCACCTACCTGAAGCAATCATGCTTTATATTCTCTCGCTCTTGCCTATCAAAGACTTGATGGTGGTGAGCCTCCTATCAAGACTATGGAAAAGCATGGTAGTCAATCACCTGTCCATAGTACCGTCAAGCCTAAACCTTGACGAATTTGAGGCAATCACAAGCTTCATTACTGAAACTGCTCAGCGCCACCAATGCTCTGATTTTCATAGTCTCTATGGCTCTCCAGAATACCTAACGAATTTGATAAATGCAGCAAGAAGCCAGTACATGGATTATGTAAATCGAACTCTCATGCTTCATACTGGATGCACTATTAACAAACTTGAGTTATCTTTCTGTTATGATGGCAGTGACATGTACACCGGAAGGCTTACCAGATGGGTTCATTTTGCCTTTACTAACAAAATCAAGAGTCTTGATTTTGACTTCTCTAAAGCAGAAATGCTGGGACCCACCGACTTCCTTGAACCATATGAACTGCCTAATAGGACTTTTTCCCCAAGGATGTTGCGAAAATTGACCTTGACCTATTGCAAGCTTAGAGGAATTAATTTTGGTATTATGTGGTATCTTAAGAAATTAAGCTTAAGGCAGGTAACAATTCTTGAATGCTCCATAGGGCAATTAGCATCCAAATGTCCCGTTTTGGAGGATGTAAGTCTGGAACAATGTGTTATTCCGAATGAATTCATGGTGAGTGAACCGGACATTATGTTCAAAAGATTGTCGTTGATCGACTGTAAAACTGAGGAGTGGCCCATGTTTAGCATACAAATATCAACTCCAGAGCTGTTAATACTGACAGTAGTTGGAAAATACCTGATGGCTTCAAGCATAAGAAATGCAGTGCAGCTCCTCAATGTCACAATTGACATTGAACAGGTATATGCAGACCATGTACAAGGAGATGCATTAGGTTCACTGTTGATTGGTTTAGACCATTGCAAAACACTGACCTTGACCACCTGGTGCATTCAGGTAACATTTGCTTATCCAATTCCTATCATATTTACTTGAACAAAGTTTTAAAACCTTTGGGTCTTAATTATCATGAAATTTTCTGTTTCGTTTGAAGGTTCTGCCTACAGGGGAAGATTTTCTGGAACAATTGCCAAACCCACTCCAAGATCTGCTGCACCTGAAGTTGATTCTTGGCTTAGGGAAACAAGAATTGCCTGGAATAGCATGCCTGATAAGGAGCTGCCCGAACTTAGAGATTCTAACTCTCACTGTGGAAGAATCTATAGATGTCGACTGGGTGAGCATAACTGACTCTGCATATTATTTTGTACATTTTGATTTTGGGCTCTAGAAGTCTAAAGCTTTATATGTAATTGTTTAATCCAACAGGCTGAGTTCCAAGAAGATATTCCAGATATATTAGACTTTGAAGAGTACAGCTACTGGGATTTACAGGAGTTGCCATTCGATTGTATGGAAAACAGTCTCAGGCAAGTCAAAATCACTGGATTTACTGGGAAAAGCAATGAGATCCAGATGGTTAAGTTCTTACTGGAAAATGCAGAAGTTCTCGAAAAGATGGAGATCTTCTTAGCTGAGACAGGCATGATCCCTTCAAATCGAACTGAACGATATGTCAATGGCATGTGGTACCAGGACAACTCCCATTATCTGCTAACCTTCCCAAGGGTGGCTCCTGAAGCTCATGTAGCAGTTTTCAAAAACCTCGGCCTCGATATGCGATGTCATTAACGTTTTCAATTGTTTTGCCTGATGCATTTTCCATTTCAATTCAGAATGTCGTCTAGATACAGAGTCTATGCATCTCTCAAGGCCGACGCCTTGAGCTTGGACAGCGGTTTCCAGAAAATCTCAACTTCAACTTGGGATGTTTTTAGAATTTTCAGTTGTGTTGTCAAATGCACTTTCCTATGTTAGTTAAAGTTTGTCGTCTAGGTATAAACTCTGTGCATTTATTGAGGGTCAGGATTTTCAGTTGTGTTGTCTAATGCATTTTTCTATGTTAATTAAGTTTTTCGTCTAAGAACACAGTTCTATGCATTTCTCAAGGGCGAGCCTATAGGCTCGGCTTTGGATGTTTTAGAATTTTCAGTTGTTTTGTCTAATGTACTTTTCTTTGTTAATCAAGTTTTTCATCTAGATACAAAGTCTATGCTGTCTCTTTGTTAGATCATAATAAGCAGCCTCCTAATGGGTATTGGACGAAAATCTACGGCTAGACGTAGAAAAGGACATAATCCTCTAGGGTGGTTGCTTAGTCTAGTGGTACATCTATATTTGTATTAGTGTTAAGATCTAGAATTCATATTCCCTCGCCCCAAGTTAAAAATAAAAAATAAAAGAATCCTCTATGTGGATAAATTAGTAGTCTTGAAAACTCTTCATAGACTAAACAAATAAGTATGAACATCAAGGAGAATCTCTAGCTTTGATCAACTAAGAACAAAGTTTCACAAAGAACCAATAATCAAGTGGGCAAAGACAACAACAACCCATTTCAGACTGCATCATTTAAACGTTATTGCCTATATATGAATCCACAACAATTCAAAAGCAATTTTCCTGCTTTTCCAAAAAAAACCCAATAGCAACAAATGACCAAAGAATTCTCCAAAAACAAAAGGAGTTATGCACATTCTTAAAGTATCCAAATCAATTCTTTAATTCCAAAACAATGTTGAAAAAGGAAAATCAAAGAAAGGGAGATTGAAAATTGAAATAGATATTAGAAAGTGTTTATCTGCGTTACCCATTACGGCAAATCTCTCTAAGCTTTCACTCTTTCATCTCGAGCTCGCCACCTCCAGCCGAGTCATTGAATTTGAATTCAGACTCAGAAAATATGCTCAAATGGGTAAGAATTCGTTTTTTGCGATTGATTTTCCTTCGTTTTTATGCAGAAGGCGTTTTTCTTTTCTTTATTATCTTTTTCATCTCAACCAGAAAAAGAAAAAAAAGAAAAAAAAAAGAAGCTATTTCTTTATCATATACTAGCCAAAAGTCCGAGTCTCCCTACGACAAAAACTGTTGTATTATAAAAAATAAAAAAAAAATTAAGAAATTTTATAGTATAGAATTAATTTATATATACATATAAATATATCTATAAAATATTTTAATTAAAATTTTATTACCATGTATTATAACTTTTATTTTCTTTTTTTTTTGTTCTTCCAAAATACAAATTTTAAAAAAAATAATAATAATAATTAACGAATTTGAAAATATTTAATTATATATAATATAAATCAAAAAGATTTAAAAGTAGTTATATTACCTGATCTTTTGACATTTTCTGAGTAGATCTGTTATCTTTAGTTTAGAACTAAAATGATAAAATATTATTAACATATGTATTTAAAATAATAAATGTTAATTTTTATTGATAATTGATATAAATTAATAAATACAATAACAAATAAAAAAATAAAAAATTGAGAACAAAAGTGTACAATCAAACTATAGGATAAGAAAAGACCCAAAAGTTCCTGCACAAAAAAGGAAGAAGAAAAAAAAAAGGACAAGCTTGACACTTCAAATTCAAGAGGCAAGGCTCCGTTCACTTCGTTAATTCGAGTTTAGAATTCAAGTTTTTCTACAGTAAAAAGCTCTCACAAACAATCACATCTAACTTTTTTACTATAATAAAAAGCTCTCACATAAAGTCACATCTTAACTCGAATTCTAAACTCGAATAAACAAAGTGAACAAGGATTTCACCCTACTATATAAACTTCAAATTCATGCCTCTTCTTTAATACGAGCTTGGTGCCCACGCGATGCTGCGAAAGGTATTGTTGGTGATGTTTTTAATATAGAAGCAACTTATAGATGTTTTTGCATATCAATATGTATAGTATTTTAGTCTAAAATATATTTATGGATACATATATTTATGTATGTAAATATATACAGTACTTTGCTGTTCTTTTCCAGTTCAAAATATATTTATAAGGATATGTACATAGATTTGTAGATACATAGAGTGTTGTCTTGTTCTTCTGTTTTGTTTCTTTTAACTATAAAAAAAAAGTTGGAAAAATAGTTAGAATTGGTAATTATAATGGCTATAGAAGTTTTAAATTTTTTATTATAGTTAGTGTAAATGAAATAATTTAGAAATGGTTATGTTACCTGTCCTGGGACGTTTCTTAGGCTGCTCTACTAAAATAATAAAAGAATATTTAGTTGTATATTTTATATAATAAATATTATACTTGATTGATAGATGATTTAAAAAGGTAAATATGTCTTACCTTGAATTTGATTTTTTAGGATATGGTATTTTTGGATCTAATGCGGTTGGAGTTGATATTTGTAGTGGTGGTGTTGGAGATTGAATATCTGTTGTCTTCGATTGGGTGCTGAAATGGTTAAAAGTTGTTTAAATATATATTCTCAATAATAAGCAATACTTTTATGTATAGTTGATATAAATTTGTTGATTTGTCGTACCTTGTGATTGATTATTTGGGATTTGGTGTTGGTAATGGGGCGTGAATGTCTTCAAATATTTTTGAAGCAATCATGGTCATTTGCATGTTTTTTTTGTTAAAAATATACTTGAAAGATCTTTATCTACCCTCGTAGTGATCAATGATTGGTGGTATTATGAGTAGATCAGTAAAGCCTTCATCAATTGTTAAAGCAGAGCATAGTTTTTTAATCAATGTTTGTACTGCTTTGCCAAATATGGTGATGTCCATATTTCCAGTATTATCTTCAATTTGTGTGTTTTATCTGTACCTATAATATATATATTGAGGGTTTATCAATATAGTTATTTATCAATTATGATTAATGGAAGTAAATAATTTGTAGTTATGATTGATTAGTAATTTTATTTACTATGGAGATGGTGTTGTTTTAATATGCATGTGACTATTACACCACCAACTAAGTCTTATTTCTTTTAATTGTTGGTAACATATGGGGCAAGAGTTGTAATATCATCCTTGAGTTGTTGGAAATCCAGTGATTGTGGCTCTTACAGTAAATCTTGTTCCCTGAATAAATAAATAAAAATTGTTTGTTTAAGTGATAATATTGAGAAAAAAAGGAAAGAGGAAATAATTTAATAATACTAACCATATTACTTTGTGGATCTAGTGCCTTTAATTTATTGATTGTGTTTTCTATTTTCTGTTTTTTTTTTTTTGTTCTTCGATTGATTATGTTGATACTGTTGATGCCGGCAGGAACTCAATTTATTGGGTTTGTTGGGAAAATCTGTGTAAGAATAATAATAATGAGATTAAAATGTTGTAAAAATTTTAAAATGTGATGGGATTGACTTTTCAAAAGTTGTTTCAAATTATTTTCAATACCTTGTCTTTAATGTTTTTGTCTCTGAAATGTCTAGGTCAATGTAGAAAATTATTGCTGCAGTGATTGGCACATAGGCATTGCCTACAATGCTAATGGTAAATTAGTTATTATTTTGATGTAAGTTTTATATTTATATGAGAAATTATGATGATGAGGCGTTGGAAATAATATCTAGATATTGTTTGACAAACATTGCTATAAAAGTCGCTACCACTGGTACCAAAGATAGTATATAATTATTGATATTGTCGGATGTTTTATTTTTGGGTGTTACTACTGGTCATTCTTTTAAATATTCAATGTTGTTAAAATAATTGCTAAAATCATTCTATATTATCGTTGAAATTTTTTCAATTGAATTTGATTCATATTGTATAATGTATTTGTCTGGTATTTTTATCCATGTAATATCTTCATTTTCTAAATTTGTATTCCTTCAGCAGTAACATTTCTGACATTTAATATCCAATTTGAAAATTATTCAATTTCTGCTTTTTGTTCATCTGTAATATTACAGTGTTTTAATCTCATATTTTCTGTTAATGTCAAAATTCAAAAATGTGACCATAAGTAAGAATTATTTATGCTTGCATCTATTATGTATTCTTTTGTTCGTGTAGGAATAACAAGTAGGATTTGTCAAAAGTCACCGCCTAGGACAACTGTCATTCCACCAAAGGGTTGTTCAAAGTTATTTTGTAAATCTTGAAGTGTTTTATTAAATGCTTTGAAGCATTATTTCTTAGTCATAGATACTTCATCCCATAGAATGAGTGATGTTTTTTCAATTAATTGTGCTAATTGAGTTCCTTTTTTGATAAGTCGTGTAGAAAATGTATCTATTGATAGTGGTATTCGAAATCTAGAATGCGTTGTTCTTTCTTTGGGTAGTAATAATGATGTTATTCCTGAGGATGCAACAACAAGAATTATTTCATTATTTGATCTAATTTGTGTGATTATTGCATTCCATAGATATGTTTTTCCGCTTCGGCCATGACCATGGATAAATAACAAATTTTCTTTTCCACGATTAAGTGATTCTAAAATTTGTTGATAAATGAATTGCTATTCGTTTAGCAGTTTGCTCTTTTAGTTTATTTGTATCATAATTAAGTTCTTCTCTTAATAGTTTATTGTTTAGATCATTTATCAAATATGTCGTAGGAAGTGGTAAATTAAAATGTGTTAAAGTTGATTAATTTATATTTAATAACTTTTCTAGTTCGTGTAGTACAAAATTATATAATTCATTTTCAGGAATTTAAAAACATGGATTGTTAAATAAAGTTTTAATCTTATGCAAGATATCATCTGTCACAAGTTTTTTTCAAGTAATTGTATTGGATTG